AAAAAAAAAAAAAGAAAAAAAAATCCTACATTTTATGTATGTTGTGTTTTTTTACTCTTGTTCTCATAAGAAGCAGGAATCACCTAGTTTTTGGATGTGTGATCTCCTAGATTCAGTATTTGGATACTGATTCTAGAGTAGTAAGGACCCATCTCAAAAAATAGCCCATACAAGCCAAATAGTCATACATCCATACTCTGTCTATATAAGCATGTGGTGGGTGAACTTTCAAGTAGCTTCCTTTAAAGCTTAATGAAAGATTTAAATGCCTAACATGTTCCATTCTTTTGGAGCGGGGGAGGTAGCTAAGTGGTCTAAACACCTGTCAGCAAGCACAAGCACAAGAACCCAGGTTCATACTGCATGCCATGCCAGCCCCACCTGGGCCTACTTGGCCAGCCACTGAAAGCAGGTGTGGTGGTACACGCCTTTAATTATAGCTCTGGGGAGGCTGAAACAAAAGGACTACTACAAGTCCAAGCAGCTCAGCAAGACCCTATACCAAATACATAAATTTAAAAACAAAACAAATAAAACGTCCATTCTACTGAACATGATATTAATTTTATAAAATAAAATGCATTGTTTTATGTATATAAACCTTGCCCTTTTTGGTATGGAAAGGGATACCAGAAAACCTTCAATTTATGTAAAAGGAAGAACATAGCAATTAAAGAAGACACCCTGGGGAGCTCTAACTTCAAATAAGAAGTGGTAAAACTGGTAAATTAATTTTGCTGGTAAAACTGATTTTTTTTGTGTGTGTGATAGAACTGGGAAGTGAACTCAGGTCTTTGTGCTTGTCAGGAAAGCACTTACTCCACTGAGCCATCTCCCCAGCCCATGGTAAAACTGATTTAACAAATTAATTTTACTGATGATTGCATACAACAACAAAATCTATGATTATAATACTAAGAACAGGCAGCTTTTACTATGATATATTCAAGGTAAACAGAAAAATAGCAATAAAAAGATATTAAGGGTTTCCCACATGCCTATAAGTACTTCCCTGTTAAGTTACTTCCCCTTCTGTTCAAAATTTGAGGCAGAGTTTTGCTGAGTTGCCCAGGCTTGCTGTTCTGCCATAGCCTTTCAAATAGTGGGCTTAACAGCTACATAATTCCCTAGGGATGGGCATTAGGGATTGATATCCTAAATAGTATCAATCAACTTGAAAGAACCCAAATGAGTCACTAGCCCAATCCCCAACAGGAAGAGACCCTGTCCTGTATTCATGCCCGCTTGCTACATGACTCACTTTCCCATTTGATACTGGATTTAATCAATTTTACCTGAGCAATGGTGCTTGTAATTTCATTGGTTGGCCATAGTTTTGTCCCACCTCATGCCCAACTAAGCAAGTTCCCATGTCTTCTCCACCACCTTAGACCCGCCTTACCACATAGTTTTCCTCTATAAAAGTCCCTGGAAGAGACAACTTCCTGGGGAAAACTACCCACTCAGGGCCCCCCTCTTGTCCCTCTCTTGTACAGGAGCTTTCTTTCTCTCAAAAAACATACTGTGCTCATAAAAAAAAAAAAAAAAAAAAAAAAGTAGTGGGCTTACAGGCTTGGAGATCAAAACCCAGCCCCTGCGCTATGCAGGGGCAGGCACTTTAGTCCGCTGAGCTATCTGGCTGGCCCTTCCTACACAAATCTTTATAGAATACAGTTCTAACTTTTGTCTCCAAAAATAGACCTTTAAAGCACTCAGGTGCAAGCTTAATGTACAGCCTGCCTTTCCTCCTAGAGTTTGGAAGACAAACCTAAAAATCTCCAATTCTGTCCTCAGTTGTTTATTTTATTGTTGTTGTTGCCGGCTCAGCAGTCCCCTGGGCCTGCCTAAGCTTTCCTAAGCAGGAGCTTTAGACCAGACCTCTGAGCTATCTTGCCAGCCCAGTTGATCCACTTTGAATGAAAGCAAAATACATTTCTAACACTTGGAAAACTTCAAGAATTTAGATTCTTCTTCCCAAGAGCAAGGGACAAAAGGTACTAACAAAAACAAAACCCACACAATTTCTTTAGCAGTGCTGTAAATCTACTCCAGAGCTTTGCATACACTAAGCAAGTACTCTACCTCAAAGCTGTATCCACGGCCTTAAATTCCTCATTTATGCCCCCTCTTTTGAAATGTTAGGTATTTACCCAAGGGCCCTACACACAGTAAGCAAGCACTTTAAGTGCTAGCCCAAGCCTAAAGCAGTAAATATTACTAAATTTTACTAAATTCCAGTCTCTGACTACATCTTAATATTCTGACAAACTGTGAAACATGCATAAAATATGTGTTTCATACCAATGCATAACAGTTATTGTACGGGAAAGCAAAAATGTACTTTTTTTCTTTTTCTTTTATGGGTCTATAGGGTCTCACTACAAAGATTTGACTCTGATTGTCCTGTTTTCAGCCTCCTAAGTGCTGGGATTACAGGCATGCACCACTATGCCCAGTCTCTATCGCTGTCTCAGTGTGCTCCGGGGACCAAGGACGGAACTATGGTCCCTGTGCCTGCCTAAGCAGGTGCTTTAATCCGCTGAGCTATCAGGCTGGGCTTGCAAAAATGTACTTTCATAATTTTTTTTTTTTTTTGAGACAAGGTTTCACTATGCAATTCAAGCTAGACTGGAACTCACTGATCCTCCTGCTTCAGTCTCCTGAGTCCTAGGATTCCAGGTATGCACCATCAAATCCATTCTACTTTGATAATTATTGGACTTATGAAATAGCCATGTGCATGATATACCATTTCTACTTCAGAGTAATAAACTATAGATATTGGGAAACATTTTGTAAAACACAAAAGGAGCCTGCGGCCAGGGATATACCTCAGTGGCATAGTACTTGCCTGTCAAGCATGAGTTCATGAGCATGATTCCAGGTACCAAAAACAAAAACAAAAAACCAGGGAACCTGTCACTTCAAGAAAAAAATAGCATTTTTAAAAAAATTTTTTATTTATTTGTGTGTGTGTGTGTGTGTGTGTGTGTGTGTGTGTCTGTGTGTGTGTGTGTGGCCAGCTCAGCCCACCAGGGGGCGGGACAGGCTGGCATGTGGTGCTGGGGTATCGAACCGCGGTCCCTGTGCTTTGCCAAGCTTGTTCCAAGTAGGTGCTTTAGACCCCTGAGCCATTCGCCAGCCCCTAAAAATAGCAATTTTTAAAAACTTCTATACACTGTGATTTTGACAACCAAAGCACCAACATTTAGAAGATCTGTATAATTCAGTGAATCATTATTTTCTAAGTAACTCATGCATACAAATGTGAAAAAAAAGTCTATGCAAAGGCCAATAGATTTTAAAGCAATAGAATATAAAAATTCATCATATAGCTTCAGGTTCCATTCTTTGAGACAGGGCCTCGGTATGAAATCTATGCTGGCTTTGGATTCACTATACACCAGACTGGGCTTCAACTTGGATCCTTCTGCCTCATGCTCCAGAGTAGCTGGGATTAAAGGTACAGTACCATCACATGTGGTTAAGAACTTTTACTTGTATGTATCTTGCTATGCAGTTTAGGCTGGCCTTGAACTCAACTTTGTAGCCCAGGCAAGTCTGGAACTCACAACAATCCTTTTGCCTCCGCCTCCAGAGGGTTGGGATTACAGGCTTGTGCCACCATGCCCGATTTAAGAACTTTTATAAACTTCTAATTATTCCTGTGATTTCAGCACTCTGGGAAGACAAAGAATGGTGACCACAAATTGGAGCCCACCTAGTTTAATTTAGCAAGACTCATCTCAAAATAAAAGCTAGGGAGGCTGAGACAAGAGGATCACATGAGTTGCATAAGAGACCTTGTGCCAAATAAAAAATAAAAGCTGGGGATAGAGATCACTGTGAAGGGCCTCAGAGATCAAAACACTAGTAACACAAAAACACAACCACCGCCCCCCCCAAAAAAAAAAACCTCAACTACTTACCAATGTTGTACATGTGTATAGCCAACTCAGCTCACCCTCGGGGCAGAGCTTGCTTGTTTCCAGTACTTGCTGAAGCACACACTTTAGACCACTGAGCTATTTCATTAGCCCTCATTATCAACTTTTGGGATGCAGAGACAGGAGGATTGCTGAGAGCTGGATGCCAGCCTGAGCTACATTGGGAGTTCAATGGTAGCTTCAATTACACAGCAATACTCTGTCTCAAAAATCAAAGTAAGACAACCCCCAACCAAAGCACAACCCAATAGTGGTTATATTAATTTTGAGGGTTATTACATTTTGGATGTCAATATGGCTAATATCTCCAAATTTCAGAGATGAAGTACATTGCACAAGTATATGAAGTAACATATTCTTATTTATTTATTTGTGTGTGTGTGTGTGTGTGTGTGTGTGTGTCCAGCTCAGCCCACCAGGGGGCAGGGCGGGCTGGCATGTGGTGCTGGGGGATTGAACCATGGTCCCTGTGTTTTGTCAAGCTTGTTCCAAGTATGTGCTTTAGACCACTGAGTCATCTCACCAGCCCCTAAGTAACATATTCTTAATACAAAGAATATCATACAAAGAAAAATCATTCATATGGTATATAAGTAAAATAGTTACAAATATAAACTAGGTGTGGTGGTATACAACTATAATCCTAGCACTTTGGAGGCTGAGGCCAGTCTGGGGTACCTGGTGAGCTCAAGGTACATAGTGAGATTCTGTCTCAAAAAAGTAGCTAGGGCCAAGAGATAGCTGTGCCTGCAAGGACTAGGGTTTGATCCCTGGTACTGCATGCCATGCTGGCTTTAGCCTGGGTGTGCCAAGCTGGCCACCAAGACTGGGTATGGTAGCCCACACCTGTAATCCCGGTGCTGGGGAGGCTAAAACAGGAGGATCACTCTGGGATCACTCTGAGTCCCAGCTGCACAGTGAGACCCTGTATCAAGTACATCAAAAAAAAAAAAAAAAAAAAAAAAAAAAAAAAAAAAAAAAAAAAAGGTTAAAAGTTTATTTACTTGAGGTAGAAGGCAAATATCACTTACTGCTTACCAGGATTATGCTGTGTTGTAAATCCTCCATTCTGAAGTACATCTCCTGCCACATTCATTCTACCAGGATTAAAAGGTCTTACTCCAGTCTTGGTCTGTGAAGTTAAAGATGGGGTGTACGTTTGTATATTAAGACCAAAATTACTTGACTGCAGTCCGTTAGACATCTCCCAAGCTGGCATTCTATAGTGCTGTTACAAAGTATGATTAAGTTCATATCTCACCCAGCATTTAGGGCTTACACCTGTTTCTAGTGTTGTGACATTAATAATACGCATTTCAGTCTGGTTCTGTAGTGATAACACTATAACCCATTCCTCCATTTACCTTACTTCTTGAACGACTGGATGTGGAGAAATCCAAATCTTTGGTACTGTTTTTAGTTCCAGGAAGTCCCCACTCAGTAAAACTGGACAATCTGTTTTTCTCCCCTCCACTTGCTTCTATGTCCTCATCATCAATAATAATTGTCTCACACATATTTCCTTTCTGAAATGTCAAATCTCTTGAGAAAGGCAGACTCATGGAACAATTTCCTTGTGGCTTTTCATGTTTTGATGATGTAAATACTAAGTTTCTTTGATCAACTATTGCTGAAGCAGAAACTGGAGGCTGTATAGATTCAATAAATACAACATCATCATCATCTTCCATTGATGGATTTTTAGATCTACTGCCTAAAGCACTAATGGGACCACATGAATTCCCTGCATCCATGAGACTAGTAGTCACTGCTGTATTCCCTAATAGAGGAGGAGTGTTGTCAGTCAAGTCAAATCTTCCCATCGGTGGTTCATCCATACCAAATAACCTGTAAGAGACTCAGAAAAGAAAAAAAATTATTATTTGTGTGTGTGTGTGTGTGTGTGTGCGCGCGCACATGCGTGTGTGCAGGGTCTCATTATGCAGCTCCGTCTTGTAGTAATCCTCCTGTTTTCAGCCTCCATAGTGCTAGGATTACAGGCATACGCTACCATGCCCAGATTCTATCGCAGGCTCACTGAGCCTGGGGACTGGGCCAGCATGGCAAGCAATGCCAGGGATTGAAAACTGGCCCCTGCACTTGCCTAAGCAAGTGCTTAGTCTGCTAAGCCATCTTGCCAGCCATGGATATTACTATTTTGTTTTACCACAAAAAATAAATAGTACAAACAAAATTTTAAAACCTCTTCCCTTTTATTTTGGGGTGGGGTAAGTGGGTTGTTTGAGATTGGCTTCAAACTTGAAGTCCTCCTGCCCCTCAGTCTTCTGGGTAATGTGACTGGAGCCCTGTGCTACCATTGTCAACTATAAAATCTTTCTTTTCTTTTCTTTTTTTTTGACACAGGGTCTCACTATGTAGCATAGGCTGGCCTCCAGCATCCTTCTGCTTCAGCCTCCTAAGGGCTGGGATTACAGCCATCTGACACCAGGCTTAGACAAAAATCTTCAACTTATAGAGAAAAAAACTGATACTCATTTTGCTTTCTATTTTTCTTCATTTTTCTTTTTTTTTTTTTTTTTTTACCAGGCTTAGACAAAAATCTTCAACTTATAGAGAAAAAAACTGATACTCATTTTGCTTTCTATTTTTCTTCATTTTTCTTTTTTTTTTTTTTTTTTGTTTGTTTGTTTGTTTGTTTTTTATTTTGCGCTTGCCAGGGAAGTGCTTTTTTTTTTTTTTTTTTTTGGCGGAACTGGGGATTGAACTCAGACACTTGGGCTTGCCAGGCAAGTGCTTATTTTACTGAGCCATCTCCCTGGCCCCTTCTTCATTTTTCTGTATTAAAAACCATTTAAAATTTACTTCTATGGAGTTGGATAGAAATTTATTATGCAATCTTTGGCACTCTTTCAAAAATATCTAATTAATTTATAGTACTCATTACATCAACATTTATAGTGAAAAATACCTAATCTTTTCAATCAGAAAGGGTAATAAAACTCTATTAAGTATTCATAACCCAGAGAGTCTATTACAATGACTAAACCAGTGTTGGTTGTCACTGTTTTTCCAAATCGCTTCCAATACAAATGTAACGGTAACAAACAACAACAACAAAAAGGGTCAGTCAGATAACTCAAAGGACTAGCACCTGCTTAGGCAGAGCACAATGGTCGGGGTTCAATCCCTGGTGTGTAGTGCCTGCCCTGCCACTGGGGCATGCTGAGATGGTGACTGAGACTGGGTGTGGTGCCATGTGCCTGTAATCCCAGTGCTTGGGGGGCTGAAAACAGGAGAATCACTACAGGTCTGATCTATGTAGTGAGACCCCGTACTAAATACAAAAAAACCCAAATGTGACTGCATCTTTCTAAATCTTTCTTGCTCTAGCCCAGGAATCTAAGGTACTTTTGTGTTAGATATGCTATGAACATTTTATGTACAATTCTCTGAACACTACCATAATGATCAGTATAATTTACTCTGCTTTAGAGATGAAAAAGTTGAGACTTGGGGCTGGGGATCTGTCTCAGCAGATGCTTGCCTAGCAAGGGGAAGCCCTGGGTTTGGTCCTTGGCACCAAAAACAAAACAAAAAGTTGAGACTTAAAAGAAGCAAACTATGGGGCCAGGGAGATAGCTCAGTAGATTAAGTGCTTGCTTTGCAAGCGCAAGGGCCTGAGTTCAATCCCCGGTGCTGGGAAAAAACCAAAAAAAAAGTGAGAGAGGCTAGATTGTTCCAGATAAATCTAGGTAGGCATTAAACTCAGGACTCTTAAGTCTAGGCCACAAATTCTTTTCTTTCTTTCTTTTTTCTTTCTTTCTTTTTTTTTGTATTTAGGGATCAGTCTGTAGGGTGTTCAAGGTCTCACTACTAAATCGGACTTATAGTGATCTGCTTGTTTACAGCCTCTCAAGAGCTGGGGTTACAGGCGCATGCCACCATGCCCAGTCTCAACTGCTGTCTCAGCATACACAGGGGACAGGGCCGGCAAGGCAGGCCTGGGTATCAAGCCCCTAGCCCCTGCACTTCCATGCAGGCGCTTTAATTCACTAAGCTGTTTGGCCAGCCCTTTTCTTTTCTTCTGAAATAATGTCTTACTATCTAATTCAGGCTGATCTTGAACTCACTACGCAAACCAGAACTAAGGGGCTCCTTCTACCTCACTCTGGGATTACAGGCAAGTGTTACCATGCCCAGCAAGACCATAAATTCTTCATTACTATTGCTATACTCAACAAACATTTGTGCCAGGTTTAGTGACATACATCTGTAAACTTAGCAGGTTGAAGCATGAGGATCACTGAATTCAAGGCCAGTGTAGGTTACATAGTGAGTTCAAGGCCAGCCTGAACATAGGAAGAGTCAAAAAAGTTTGCCTACTGTACAATATGCTATGATGAAAAAATTCAATAAACAAAAGTCAACAGTGTTCCTGCACACCAAAAATGAAGGCACCGAGAAGGAAACCAGGAAAAATATTCGATTCCCAGAGTTCCCAAATAAATAAATGAATGAATACATAAATATGAATCAACCTGCCCAAGGAGACTTCTATAATGAAAATTACAGAACTCTAGCGAAATTAAAGATGTCACTAGACAATGAAAAAATGTCTTGTTCTTGGATTAATAGTTTGTGAAAATAGCAATATTATCAAAAGCAATATATAGATTTAATGTAATCCCTATTAAAATACCAACAACATTCTTCACAGAACTAAAAAGCAATCCTAAATTTATAGAAAATTTGGGACTGGTGGCACAAGCCTGTGATCCTGACACTCTGGAAGTTTGAGGGAGAAGAATGGCAAATACGAGGTCAAACTGTTCAATTAGCAAGAGCCTGTCTCAAAATAAAAGAAGGGGGGGCGGGGAGATGGCTCAGTAGAATAAGTGCTTCCCTGGCAAGCACAAGGGCCTGAGTTCAATCCCCAGTCTGGCAAAACAAAACAAAACAAAATCAAAATAAAAGGAATGAGACTGGTGATTTAGCTCAGTATGAAGGCTCTGGTCTCAATTTTTAGTAACACATTTAAAAAAAAAAAAAAAAGAAAGAAAGAAAAGAAAATTCATATGAGACCAGAAAAGCAGCAGAACATCCTGGCAATCTGAGCAAAAAGTTGGGATCCGGATTTGGGGCTTCAAATTATATTCCAATACAATGTAACAAAAACAGCATGGTACTGGCATATAGACATATAAACCATTATAACAGCACAGAAACAACCTCATGCAACTAGGCCATCTGATTTTTTTTTTTTTTTTTTTTGCCATTTTCTTTTTTTTTTTTTTTTTTTTTTTCAGAACCGGGGATTGAACTAGGGACCCTGCAATTGTCAGGCAAGTGTTCAGTTTTTTTTTTTTTTTTTTTTTTTTTGCCATCTGATTTTTGACAAAGGAGCCAAAAACATCTTGGAGAAAAGACAGCCTGTTCAACAAAGTCTTAAGAAACCTGGATATTAACTTGCAAAAGACTGAAACTAGATTCCATTTCTCTCCCTGTACTACAATCAAGTAAAACTGGGTAAAAACAGAATGAATATATGATATATATG